GAATTGGATATAAAGTTTAAGATTTGAAACATGTATTTTGGTGTAAGAAATTACACAAACAGCATCAGAGCCCCATTCATTGTTAGATTGGATGATATTGCACATTTTAAGGTTCTCCCTTTGGTTTCTAACTTTAATGGAGAGTGCTGCATGTTCACAACCAATCTGCTGTGGGGCACAGGAATAAGAAATGTGAATTCTTAAAAGGGTTGGATTCTCCTTTAAATGCACAGTCTGACTATAATATAGTGTTCCATTCTCAAAGCATCTGATGCAGAAAAATAACAGCCTAAAATTATGAATATTAAAGTCATTATAGACGCCTATTGGGGACTTTATTGAAATGATCTTGTAAACTTTAAAATTAAAATTCAATTCCATTCCGCTTTATGAATATGTGCAAAGCAGGAGAAGCAGTCAGCAGGTTTCTTTTGAAAGTAATCTTTTGCTTGCAGTCAGTCAGGTGTGAGTAGTTACAGCTGAGTGGATATATTTCTACAGATGAAAGAAAGCATACACACTGGTCAAATTCTATCATATTATTTTGATTAAAGCAACAAACAAATCTAAATCAAAAATCAGTGTCACGATTCAACCTTGAGCCAGTTCCATCTCTGGATTTCCCTGTCTCTCTCTCTGTGCTCTCCCTGTATTCCCTTGTGTCTCCACCCCCTGTGTGTCTGTACGTGCTGTGGGTGCGGTTTTGTCCTACCTGGCTCTGGAGAGTACCATACCTGCATGCCATTACCTCATCAACATGAAACCTTTATGCTTACACCTATTTTTCCCTCTGTGTCCCAGGACTCCAGAGCCAGATCCCACACCCTCCTCCTCCTCCCAAGCTGCTGCCTGCTCCACCCTCCACTCCTCATTCACTGACCACCCGCTGTCTGCATTTGGACTCTGATTCTTCTCATTATCCCTATTCCCTCTCAAGCCCTGGATCAGGTCCTCCGCACCACAAGACCTCCATCCTCCATTGCTTCGCCCGTATTCTCCGTCACCTGGCCTCTGTTGCTACTCCCTCCTCCTTTGGCTCCCGGGGCTCCAGAACCAGCCCCAGTTCATGGTAGGTGCAAGGTAGGATAGGATCACTAGTAATAATATATATAATAAATAATAGTAGAGAGAATGATTTATTAGAGCTTTTATACATTCCCAGTGTGTCAGAAGTTTAGACACTTTGTTTTTATGGCATAGCCTTTAAATTGTTTAACTTGGGTCAAACGTCTCAGGTAACCTTCCACAAGCTTCTCACAATAAGTTGCTGAATTTTGGCCCATTCCTCCTGATAGAACTGGTGAACTGAGTCAGGGTTTCAGGCCTCCTTGCTTGCATATGTCTTTTCAATTCTGCACACAAATTTTCTATTGGATTGAAGTCAGGGCTTTGTGATGGCCACTCCAATACCCTGACTTTGTTGTTCTCAAGCCATTTTGACACAAGTATGCTTGGAGTGATTGTCCATTTGAAAGGACCATTTGCGACCAAGCTTTAACTTCCTGGCTGATGTTTTGAGATGTTGCCTCAATATGTCCGCATAATTTTCCTTCCTCATGATGCCGTCTATTTTGTGAAGTACACCCTCAAACAAACAATTGTTGGAAAAATGACTTGTGTCATGCACAAAACAGACGCCCTTACAGATGTGACAAAACTATAGATAACATGAAATCCATGGGGTGGTTTAAAAAATGAGTTTATGTAAACCTCTGACTTCAACTGTACATGAGGGGTTGAGATTAAAACACTAAGTCTGAAGGAGAATTCAGTGAGTGCTTGCAGAGAGCGCTTTGCTCTGTCTGAGCTTAGTGTGAGATGTATGAATTTGTGAAACTAAAGACTGGGATTAGAATAGATTGAGTTCATAGAGAGAGCTCTCTGGTTTCTCTACTTGAGATCAAAAAGAGACACAAAAGTTGAGAAAATCTGAGAATTATTTCAGAGCTTGATGACATCTCATTTGAAACTTAAAAGGAGAGTAACTTGAGAGTCTTTTCTCTCCTGGTGAAAAAAACAGACACAGGAGGAATAAGCTATAGTCTCATTTAGGTTTCCCACAGATCATCTCTCAAAGTTTTCTACGAGAAATAAATGAAACACTTTTGAGATCTCTTTTTTGATCTTCTTTTCTCTGGGGCAACCAATTTCCATTAGAAAGGCAAAATACGCCTCATGAACAGTATGGGAAACAAAACCTGCAGCAACTGTAATACCAACGTAAAGCTCTAATACACGTGGAGAATACAAAGACGCAGGTTGTTGTTAGTGATTGAAAAGTTGTTTTGTTCTCCAGTCTAGATATTACTGTGCACTTTAGCTTTGCCACAGGTTAAAAAAGACAGCATCTGAAGGCAGCTACAAGCTTTATATGCCCTGCATTTTCAGGCCCCAGAGGTAAAACATCTTCATTCCCTTTCCAAATTGTTCTCTCTTACAGACAGATCATTGACTCATCGTCTGGCATTCCCACCAATCACAGATGCAATTTCCTATCGCCCAGTGTGCAATATATATTTCTCAGAATTGCTGTGTTTATCCAATTGATTGGAAAAAAAAAAAAGAAAAAGAAAGAGAGACTCCAATCGCCTAACTGCATTCTGTCTCTCTGTTGAACATTTATGCAGCAATGCTACTGCTGTACAGTGTTGGTGAATCACCTTTTATTTTATGGTGGAACTTGGGGGATTTCAATTTTTAGCAGCAGGGTCGATTGCAACTGCAGCAATTGTAACCACTGAATGAAAAAGGGTGATTTTCTGAACAGCATCTCCTTCTGGATCTGCTATCAAAAAAAAATCTCATTCACTATGCAAACTGCAACAGGACAACTGCCTGGAGGAAGAAATTACCTTTCTGTTTTAGAGAGTGAAAAAGGGCTACAAACCAAACCAGCACAAAATGTGCCTGCATCTGTTGTGCACCCTCTCAATTATGTAATTAGCAAGCTGTTGGCATCCATCATTTTCGCTGAATGATAAGCAGATGGGTTGCCAACACTCTGTTCTCAGTTTTAAGCAGTTTTAGGCCATAAAAGGTTGAAAACGACTGTCACCAAGATAAATCGTTCTACATTTAGTGTATTTTACTTGGCAATAATGTGAATCAGATTCTCCTTCTGTGCTACTGGCAGTGATCCTGCCACATCAACATATGATATGTCCCAGTGAAGTCAATCCCTTCTTAATGACTGGCCTTTGGCAACCTGAGCTCTCACTACTTTCATCTACAGAGCACATCAAGAGAGACATCACTTTTTTTCATGTCGGTGTTTAATGCAAATTACCTGTCCAATTTTTAACCCACCAGTACATTAAATGCATGAAATATGAACTTTTTAGATATTCTGTCATTAAAAAGGAATAATGTTTGACGATATGCACTTACTATTCAGGTAACATCCATGCTGAATCCCTTTGGCTGCTGCTGTCACAGATAAAACATGCTTCTCACTTGATCTTGCGTTGTTAATATTGGATGAAAAACTCACCCTGCAGCTCTTGGATTTCTCAGTTATTGGACATGATTTCCAGTCTCTTCTGCCACTTCCTGGTCATTTTTTACTACAGCATACTCTCAAAATCCAAAATCAATATGCCTCTGTGTGCCAGCACAAACATGAAAACTACACAATGAATTTCAGTACTTAAGAATAGTTTAGTTCTCTTGAGTATTTTATTTCGTGGGACAGTACTTCTTTGGGTAATGTTGGATAAACTGCGTACTACTTCTCTCTCTCTGAATCTGGAGCTGCAGGATCCAGATCTGACAAAACTACTCCACACTTTATTACTTTTATTAGTAGTAGTAGTATTGTTATTAATTGGTGCTGCTGTCATTGCTGCTGTTATTGATAATAGCATTAAACCTATGGGTATTGCTACTATTATTTTAACAGTCAACTATCAACAGTATAGGCTACAGCTGCTCTTGGTTCCTTTTATCTGTAAAACATTTAACTCAACAATAGACAACTGTATATCTAACTGTGACTGGACACACATGGCATATTAATGGATCGACAGCCTGTGTGCAGTCCATGTATGTAGTATTTCCTTTACCTGTGCTTAAAGGCCCTATACACTCATGGACATTTAATTTGTTTGACAATCCTCTGAACCTGCTATTAGTTTTGTTGCACCTCTTTGGGTGGGAGAAATTACACCTTTATCACTATCATTAGTTCTTGAAATTTGGTGACTTTATGTGATTAGAGCACAGCTCCAACAAACTGAGCAGGGGGTCTAATCAGCCAAAATAAGTGGAAACACTGGTACAAGACCTTTTTTATGTTGACTTCAAATGAAGTGTTTTACCCAGATGTAGGTCAGATAATATGGGCTTGAGTCATAAATGTAATGTAACGTTAGACTGAACCTGACTGAATTGTTTTTGGGGGAAAAAAATTGCCTGTGCATTTAGCATTGATGGCTCCTGGTGACTTCACATGCACCTGAGCCTTATGCCTTGAAATACTTGTAACCCTCCCTTTTCATGTTGCCTCCGCAGCAGAAGCAGCAGCAGCATATAAAGAGATAAAGCAGACATTGACTATGCCACTGTGGAATCTGAAAGGGGAGGCACAAAGAGAGAAAGCGTTGCAATATCACAGAAAACCCAGCTGAGGTCAGTGTTTCTCCACCGGACGCCTCAGTGTGGACAGAGACGTCACTGCCACCAAAAATCAGTAGCTGCAATGTTGGCTGTTTTTCCATTAATCAACCGAGGAGCCACTTGGAAATCACTACTTTTGTTGTAGACAGGCAGTCTTCTAATCCCTTTGTTCTCAAGCATGTAAACTGTACAACTGTTCGCATCAGCTGAGAAATTGCACAAAAACGGTGTGGGTACGTTCTTTAAATCACTTCCTAACAAAGAGAAACAGGAGCAGCAGCAGCCCAAGTATCCATGCGTCCCCTTTAAGACCGTTTTGGAATAATTAATGACGTCGAGCTGTAAACACGACTGACGCTCAGCTGCGTGGCCGAAGCATCCTCAGACCAAGAGCCCGAGTCCTCTCTAGGTTCCCTGTGTTTATCTCTCGACGGGACCGCTGAAAGGCATTAAAACAACTGCGGTTCACCTCGACTCTCTTATGCGGTCTCCAAAACCAAGACGGCGGTGCTGCATCTATCCTACTAAGTGCCATGGCTAGAAAGACGGACATTCCCTCCTCTTACTATGGTGAGTCGGTTCGTCTTTGTTGTAAACGCCGATATTTTTCCAATGTAACGTTATGACAGCAGGAAATAACGCTGTATTCATCTGGCTGAATGATGTTTGACCCCTCACTGTGATTTTCGGGAACGTTAGCTAGTCCAGTTGCTAACTGGGCTATTTAGAGGCTATTTAACGGCTGGCTGGCATCAAATACGCAGTAACGGCAGATTAACGTTTATAAACGTTATTAACGTTCGAATAGTTAAGTAACCTAACGCCCCCCCAACCCCCACCTTAGAGTGTTTTTTTTGTTACAATGCCTCAAAAATGATCCGTGTCCCTACTGTTAAGTAGATAACTCCTGTAACAAAATTATTTTAGCCTTGTATTGTTTACCTGGTAAATCAGTCACCACTTTCCTCCTCCACTTGTCGTCACTTCGTCTTTGTTGTAAACGGAGATATTTTCCTGTCAAACTACTGTCTGACAACATGACATGGTTGGTCAAAAAACATTCGTTGGAGCTGCAAATGACCATGATCATTGATGGATCTGTCGATTATTTTAATCGATTAATTGTTTGGTCTAGCTTTAAAATGACAAATAGTCACAATTACCTAATGCCCTAGATGATGCCATCAAATTACCTTGATTTAGTCTATTACCAGTCCAAAACCGTAAGATATTCAATTTCATTTTATCATGTAAGACAAAGAGTGCCTCCATTATTGAGAAAATGAAATGATTAACTTACCCAGTTACCAGAATAACTTGGCTGACAATAAATTGACTCTCAGTTGACTAATCAATTAATCCTGTCAGCTGTAATCTTCAGCCTGAATGATGTTTGACCCCTTGCTGTAAGTTGGTACATTTAGCTTAATTGACATAAATTATGTAGTAATGGTAGAATAGTGTTCTTTTAAATGGTTATTTACAATGGAATAATACTGCCTTTGAATGTTTCTAATGTATCACCTTAAATGGCTTAAACGTTATGCGTATCCTCGGTTAACTCTTGATACTCGTGATATAATTTTCTGCCTTATATTGATCACCAGGTGCTCACAATAAGAGTCTATTAACAAGTCTTAACTGCACTCCTCTACTCTCCACTCTTGTTGCTCACAATGAGAATAATTACAGTGTTGTAATAGCTGCAATCCAGGTATTGTGGTCAATGTCCTCTGTTAACAGTTTTAATAAAAAAGGATTTATTGTCTCCAAGTAGCATTTTTGCTGCTCCAGGCGTATGGACATATTTAATCCATGGGGAGATTTTCTGTCCATTAGCCTGCCTTAGTAATCATGTTGTTTATCAAAGCAATATAATCCTTTATCACCACCAGATGCCTAACATACAGCAGTGTGTATCTTGTGAAACAAAGAGTCACTTACCCTGATGATTTTCACCAGACTGGTGGCTTTTTGAGCTTTGATGCCAGTCATACTTTCACAGTTAATATTCCATTCTATATTTAGTCATTTTGATGATTTTATCAATTAATGATATTAGTATTAATAGAATAGAAATATTATTATTCAGTCAAATTTTAGCAACTCTAGAATGCTTTCAATGAAAATGTTCCTTACATTAGCAAACAAATTATGTTCCAAAGAAAATAAAATGTCATTGCAGATTTTATTTGGTCTTATGTGGCTGTGGTTAAGGAGTAACCTCTGTCATGTACAATGTACAATATTTCTTAATCACCAAAAGGCAAAGGTAGACATGTAGCACTTATCAGGTAATCAGGCCAACCCCATTTGTAACACGGAAGTGTTACCAAAGTCTTCCATATCAATATCAGCAACAAATGCATATTATCACAAAGCTCTGTCTAAGCTGTATGTGATAATTGCTGCCTAGATGTCAGTCAGGTACAGTAACTGTACTGTCTTAGAGTGACACAGGCATTGTCAAGCTCTTGATGGGGAAAACTACTGTGTCTTCCTGTTATTTCCCCACATGCTTGCCCGATGTGTCCCTCAGACCTCATGACTCCAGCAGTCTGCCAATCATAACTGCAACATGTCAGCTGGCGTTGATTCTCACTGCTCTCTGCAGATATGCAGCTCACCATTGAGGCCTTCAAACCATATCACTCCCTGCTCACAAGTTCAAGCTTGTGCTTTACAGTATGCCATAAACCTAGAGATTGTGTGTAGAGTGTTGTAAGTATACAGCTTAGTGAGCACAATGTTGAGCCTGTGTATCATTATTATTATTATTATTATTATACACACTATATAGATACATATATTATACAGACTGATATGTACATACTTGCATTACCTTCTATTGCTGCAGGTCATGTGGTACTCCCCAAAGAATTACATAGAATATAGTGAGACAATTTAATTAAGGAACATAATTTTGCCCTAACACAGTCCGGTGACTGAGCTAGTGGAGCGTAGGATAGAGTTATGGTGCCTCCCTGTGTTTAGGTCAGCTGCTTTATGTTATTGGCTCCCTGGTGCTTTCGTTCCATCAGCTAGCTTGGCTGAAGAGCAATTTAGAGTATTTTGGTCTCACAACTGAGCACAGAACAAGACAAATTGTACATCAGAATCGCCTACCCAGTAGTGTTGGCAGCTAATGTTTCACACTCTTTGTTTAAATGCAGACTAAATGTGGAGTGCGCAGTGTAGAAAATCACCTTTTGTTGCTGATATAGTACTGTGAATCTCTGTCTGTCTTTTGTGATTTATGATGCTGATTGTGGTAACTTCAGCTAGAAAATAATCACTCGACAACGTCTTGGCCGTATTTGCACTTTATATAAGGATGGCGAAATGAACTTTACATCCAGAGCTAATCTGTAGACATCTCTGTCGGCGGGAGATCAAGCATACAACAACGCCCGGGGCGGAAGTGTACTTCAAAATAAATGCAACATATGCAGCATTGACCCTTGGTGGGTGCATAGCTCTTATTCTACTTATTGTACTCTTATTCTGATAAGGACTAACTTAACTTAATAATGTTCACATTACAACACTGATGATGATTCTGCCCAATCTATTATTTCCAGTCCAGCTAGTTTGAATGTCAGTCACTCGGGTTTCTTTATAAACTTACCATATTGCAGAGACATACAATTGTTAAACAGGAATACATAGAAGAAACAGACACCTTTTTACCCACAAGACATGTTTTGCAGAGGAAGTGCTAGTGTTCTCACTTCTTTTTTTTTTTGTTCTCACCTTCCTACTCCCGTAAAAGTTATCACTACACATTTCTGAGGAAAGTGGGGAAACCACTAACACTAAAATATTAGTGAACCATGTGTTGGCAGGTAGTCAACCTAGCTACCATCCCATCATTCACATCCAGTTGCTCTACATCCCAGATTCAAGTGTACACTTGCGGCTGGTATATTATATAACATTTCTGACTATGTAGCAAGTGTTCAGTGGGCTTACACTGTATTGCAGAAATGTTCAGTCAATCAGAAAAGTAGAAAAATAGCTCATAATCATTCTGTGACAGGTTTGTAAGTAACAATTTAGATATGAGTTCCATTCACCACAGAAAGTGTTGAGTCGGGCACACTGTTAATTAACAAATTTTTCGCATGGGCAGCTTCCCTTAACGCTGCATTTTTATACTGAGTCAATGCAGAGTCTTGACAGAAAGCTGAGAGCTGTGGTTTAGAATCAAACATTCACAGCGTCGTCCTGTGAAATTGCAGTCAGAAGGTGGTGGCTCAAATGGCCCATTTTGCACCCAAGACTAAGTGCTATTATGGGCTTTTTAAGTGTCACTGTCCCCTGCAAATACTTGCTTTAAATGAAGACCAGTGCTCGCTCCATAGTGCTACACATTTTGTTTGTCTGTATGGCAGACTTGTCTGTATGGTCAGTATCTGTTCATTATTTTTAACAAGGTTATTTTCTATTGCTACTAATTTCATGTGTCTTTTCTCGAGATAGCTCTGTCAATGCCTGGAAGTTTGAAGTATATTATTCACGCTAATGATAGGGTGAGTGTGTAAATAATTTCAAAGATTCACTTCTGCACAGAAGCGAGCACTGGATGGTTATTTGTTCAAGTCTGTGAAAATGGGACATTTAGCTGTGAAGAGGCTTTCTTGGCAACAGCAAGGAGACTTTAAATTTCCAATTTGCAGTACAAATACAGTTGGTGTTTCTTTATGACTAAAAGGCTAAGTGACATTGACAGTGATTTATGAAACACAATCCAAAGATATACTGGAAAAGAAATGCAGCTACATTCATGCTAGACATGTAGATTTTGATTCTCGGGTTCATGACTTTTGATAGGTCTAACGTGATAAACGATGCAGCTAGCGTTATCAAAGCAAACGAGTCATTATCCTAAGAGCAAAAGATAAATGATGTTGTGATGTAAACATGCTTTGTTGCACAGGTGAGAGCCTTGAATTGCATCTTGCCAATTTGCTTAGACATTTAAGGGTTTTAGCAGCTTTTTCACTGATCTGAGCTCAATGTGTGCAGACTGTTTGGTGGCAGCTGTTATTGTGGACTCCATGTTGGACAACACAGGCAGTAAAGTTATATTAATATTGACCAAATCAAAGGTTTTAGGGATAAATTGTACTCCTATCTAAAAGAGAATATCACCCAGTTTAGGAAATCAGATTTGTTTAACTACTTGCGTACTAGTTACACACTAGAGTCATTAAATCATAAGAACAATTTCTTGTTCTTCTGGTAACAAGTGAATCAAGAGTCGAACTCTGATGTACTGTGACACATACATATATTCAGTAATGTGCTGAAAGTCGAGTCAACATGATGTAATTTTAAAAACATCACAGCAGAATGTAATGCTATGCAACAAAGGAAATTTGTCCTGGTTGCGGGCCCACCACTGCAGCGGGATTGCCATTGACGGAATATGCGGTGTTAATAAATAGCCATGTGATTCCTCGGCTGCAGTGCAGTGGTGCCCTGCTTTTCTCCCACTTTGATAATACGGCCCAAAAAGTTGCTCAAAATCTTGCTCAAGCTTGGCTTTTTCGCCATGTGCTGTCTCA